AACGCTCCGATTAGAAGATGCGACTATGGGACAGAGGTTCAGGGCCGAAGGGGTAGAGGAAGACCTAGGAAAACTTTGGAAAAGACCCTAAGAAAAGACTTAGAGTACTTGGATCTAACGGAGGACATGACACAAGACAGAACACAATGGCGTTCTAAGATTCATATAGCCGATCCCACTCAGTGACTTGGATTTTCCAAGTCTCCAACCGAGAAGTTTTCCTCACTCGGGAAATTAAGGGAACACTACCTCAACCTACATGCTCCACTCACAAAGCTTCAACATACAAGCTTCAACAAAAGAAAATTCAAAAAACTTAGCGAAGAAGGCTTTGGTGTATTTAACACAATACGTTGAAATGAAGGAAAGCTTATTTATTGATATCCCCGATAAGTTACAAATATGTACATATACTTGAGTCAAAATAAACAAACAAGATGGAGCCTTCACAAAGGTTGCTTAGGAGAAGTCTCAGCAGTCGGTAGAGCCCCAGAAAGAGAAGTTACTGGAGGGGGATCTTTCGGAGCCTCAGTACTGGACAAAACCCTAGAAGGAGGAGGCATCAGAGGTTGATCATTTGGAGCTTCATTACGCGGTACAGCCCCAGAAGACGAAGGCAATAAATGTCTTTGGAACAAACCCACAAATCTCTGATGATCAAGTAAAACCTGACCATCAGATTCCTTCATCTGGTCAAGCTTCCTCTTCATGTTTGTAGCATAGTCATGTGCGAGCCGGTGCAACTGTTTATTCTCATGCTTGAGCCCTGTAATCTCCTGTTTGAGACTCATCACTTCAGCCGCCAATGATTCAACTTGGCGGGTTCAAGCAAATAGGCGTTAGGCCATATTAGACACAGAACCTGCACACTGAACACTGAGAGCCAGAGAATCCTTAACAGCCAACTCATCAGACCGTTTGGAAAGTAGTCTGTTATCTTTGGGAGTGAGAAGGTTCCTGGCCACTACCGCAGCGGTCATATCATTCTTCATCACGGAATCCCCAACGGTAAGAGGACCAGTAGGGGAGACGAAGGATGGGCGCCATATGTTGTCTGGAGAAGGCGGGGCTGCCTCTTCAACAAGGTTCAAGTCAAAATGACGGTCGGAGGGGGGCCAGACATTTTCAAAGGTGTTGAAGAGAGAGGAGGTCGGACAAATCAAGATCTTAGAAGTGCAAGAATGGAGCTTCTACTGGTGGATATTCAAGTGTGCTTTGGAACTTAATGTCAGCCCCTATAAAAAATCTGCACTCGACGAAGCTTCAGAAATCGAAGAGGCGCCTGCTTAGAAATCGAAGAGGCATTTGCTTTCTCAAAAGCTGGGCTGCTCAGAGACCACGAGGGTCGATCTCATAAATCGAAGAGGCGTTGCTTTCTCAAAAGCTGGGCTGTTCAAAAACCACGAAGGCCGATCTCAGAAATCGAAGAGGCTTGCTTTCTCAAAAGCTGGGCTGCTCAGAGACCACGAGGGCCGATCTCAGAAATCGAAGAGGCACCTACTTTTCCAGCCTTGTCAGCACCTGTCACACGCACACTCAGCTTTGCGGAAATTATGGGCATTCTGTCGAAGATTTCTGGCGAAGTAGAAAGCACATGAATCGTACTATTCAATCACCCACTTCCCACACGCAACAGTAACTCATGGGTTCCACAGATAACTTTGCCAAAGTTCTCTGACAAAGTTGAGACACGTGAAGCTTGCAGCTCCCGCTACATCGCTCTGACCAAGAAGGGTAAAAGAATTGCAAAGAAACAACACTAACAAAGTTTAGACACATAAATTTTGAAGGTCTAGCTACCATATTATTACCCACAAGGGTAAAGGAACAGTACCACTGCTGGATAATTGGAAAGTCCCGGTGTGTCAACCTCTGTGCTTCGTGGCAAGGTAGACTAGTAAACATGCCCAACCTTTACTCACATTCGAGAAAACACTCCCAACAGGATTGCTTGCTCCAAAATCGAAGAGGCACCGCCCTCCAAATCTCGAGAGCCAGACTCCCAACATGATTACTTTCTCAAAAATCGAAAATAGGGTAAAGGAACAGTACCACTGCTGGATAATTGGAAAGTCCCTGTGTGTCAACCTCTGTGCTTCGTGGCAAGGTAGACTAGCAAACATGCCCAACCTTTACTCACATTCGAGAAAACACTCCCAACAAGATTGCTTGCTCCAAAATCGAAGAGGCACCGCCCTCCGAATCTTGAGAGCCAGACTCCCAACATGATTACTTTCTCAAAAATCGAAGAGACATCGCTCTCCGAATCTCGAGAGCCAGACCCCCAGCAGGATTGCTTTCTCAAAAATCGAAGAGGCATCGTTCTCCGAATCTCGAGAGCCAGATCCCCAACAGGATTGCTTGTTCGAAAATCGAAGAGGCATCACTTTCCCAACTTCAAGAGCTGGATCTCCTTGGATAAAGCTTGTCTGTAATCTTCACACGCAACATCAGCTTTCCAGATACCACAGACCACTTTTTCAAAGTGCTCTGACAGAGTTAAAACATGTGAAGCTGGCAGCTCCCACTACCGTGCTATGACCAAGCAGGGTAAAGGAATAGCATTATTACTTGATGTTAGAGAGACTCCTATATATGTCGACCTCCATCCCTAACGGACAGGCAGACCTGCAAAAATGTTCAACCCTTTCTCTTATCTGAGAGGGCACTCCCAACGAAGCCTTTCGAAATATTCAGCTTTCTTTCCCTCCCGATAATACCTCTATAAACAAGCTATACTAGAGCAAGAATATCTCATATCATCAGGGTTAAAAGCAAGAGTATCCCATATCATACTTTTTCCTTGTCTTTTCCTTTGGCCTTGTTCTTACCTGCAAGACAAGAAGAAAGAGAGCAATCAGTCAGCACTTGGAATCAAGCTTCCAGCCAGGAACTGACTGCCTGGAACCCCTTACCTGATTACTTACCTGGCATTGCTCTCGAGTACTCATCTTCAACATCTTATGCTTCCAGGGAAGATACCGCATCTGCCTGAGGAACAGATAGGGCAAGTGAGAAGGATACAAGGAAGCATGTGGAGACAAGCGTAACAGCACACGTGCCGATACATCCACTACTCTGTCAAAAGCAAAAGTATCCCATATCAGCAGGGTCGAACGTACTCTAGATTTGATGGACTTGTTTTGACCCTCAAATTCTTCAGTCGGCCTTATACTCTGGAGGAAACCAGAAAACCCTCCAGCCCGATTCAAGAATAAGCATGTGGAAAGTTACTTCTTCAAAAGCAAAAGTATCCCATATCATCTCTTCTCATTTTTCTTCTCTTTATCCTTCATGCTGCCTGCAAGATAGGGAGAATGTGAACAATCAGCCGGAACTCTGATTGCTTACCTTGTCTGTCACCTCTTTCAGCAGATCCCCTAGCCCGGCGACTTGGGGGACTCCTACTACATGGTTTGTATCGCGCTTGACCAAGTCTGAAACTACAAGTAAGCTTCAAGTGAAATTGATACATTACCTTGTGCATCTCCACCAGTTACAGATACCACCCCTGGATGGAGAAAGAGTACTTCCAGAGAAGATGCCACATCTACCTATGAGACAGATAAGGCAAGTCAAGACGATACCACACTCCGGTACTTAGAAGTTTAGTGGTTACGAGATCACTCTCCCACAATATTTCCTAATGTCATTTGTACTAAATCATTCACTTGTACTCACTAAAGGAGAGCTTGAACCTATGTACTTGTGTAAACCCTTCACAATTAATGAGAACTCATCTATTCCGTGGACGTAGCCAATCTGGGTGAACCACGTACATCTTGTGTTTGCTTTCCTATCTCTATCCATTTATATACTTATCCACACTAATGACCGGAGCAATCTAGCAAAGATCACAAAAAGTAACCGTTTTCGCTACCTAGGATCTATCTTGCAAGAGAACGGAGAATTAGATGGAGATCTCAACCATAGAATACAAGCTGAATGGATGAAGTGTAAGAGTGCATCCGGCGTGTTGTGTGACCGTCGTAGGCCACTGAAGCTCAAGGGAAAATTTTATAGGACGGCAATAAGGCCAGCGATGTTGTATGGCACAGAATGTTGGGCGGTGAAGCATCAACACGTACACAAAATGGGTGTAGCGGAGATGAGGATGCTTCGTGGGATGTATGGGCACACGAGAAAAGATAAGATTGGGAATGAGGATATCCGAGGTAAAGTAGGAGTAGCCAAAATTGAAGGAAATATGAGAGAAAATCGGTTCCGGTGGTTTGGACATGTGCAAAGAAGGCCTACTGACGCTCCGGTTCGAAAATGTGACTACGGGACAGAGGTTCAGGGCCGAAGGGGTAGAGGAAGACCTAGGAAAACTTTGGAAGAGACCCTAAGAAAAGACTTGATTACTTGGATCTAACGGAGGACATGACACAAAACCGAGCGCAATGGCGTTCTAGGATTCATATAGCCGACCCCACTTAGTGGGAAAAAGCTTTGTTGTTGTTGTTGTTGTTGTTGTTGTAGGAATATCATTGTTTTGTTACTTTGCAAAGTGAATTTGTTCGAAAAGATTGAAAGTAAGTGGGCTTCAACTTTGAAATCCTACAGCATGAGTAGATTAAAGAATCAGTTTCTCCAATTATATTCAACACCACTAAACCACGCCATGACATTATCTTGTAGGGAGCAAAAAAGAAATCTATACAAACAATTAGAAAGAATATAATTGTAAATATAAAGTTACGTGATTTAATGGTTAAAAACTATGAAAACCACGTAGATGTTAAGAAATAAAAAGTATATGGAAACTGAGGACTTACTTGAGATGAGAGTTCAGATAATGTTTTAAGAGTGATAAAAGTTTTGTTAGATTGAGGTGGTTGTAATGAGATATCTTCTTCTGCACAAAGAGTTTCAGATGCATGTTACCTAGGAACATAACATGTTAAATAGCAAACTCTGAGCAAAGGTAAGTCATTTTAGGTAATGACACATATTATTCATTAAAAGAAATCCTTTTCGTTAGACATGTAACTATAATATTAACAAAGATCAAGAATACAAATGAAATGTTTACATTGTTTGAATTAATCCAAAAGACATGATTTTATCATGTCAGACATGCTGATGAAAACCCATTTACAGCAGCCAAAATGAAATCGAATCAACTATAAAGTCGTGATTAATGTGAATTGAAAAAAGAATAAGCCTGGTGACATGCAGGACAGAAACCTAATACTGTTAAAAAGACTGGGAAAAATCCGAAAAAAAAAATCCTATTGCAACCACAAATCAGTTAAAGAGTTCAAAAATAAGTGCACTTACTTAGATAATTATATTTACACCCAGAGAATAGCATATGCAGCAAGCTAGTACTAACAAAACACTCAAAAAAGGCAAAAATCATTTTCATTTCTTCCTAAAATTAAACATAAAAATGAAAAAATTGATCTGCTTCGAACTCAGAGATTCGGAAGAATGGTCTACGAATAACAGAATCAAATTATCAATGATAAATTGATTTAAGCCAATTCCAGTTTGTCCTACTAAATCTTTTTTACAGTCGCTCAAATAAGAGCATAAGCAAGTTCAATAGTTGAAACCTTTGTAAATCCTTCCCATTATACATGTTGCTCACAATTATTTCATTGCAATCCTGCACATATTGCGGATCAAGATTGTTTGAAAGAAAATGAAAATTTTGAGGTGTGTGTAACTTGTAAGTCATTACAGAGCTAATAGATACACAAAATTACAAAAGGACTGCATAACCATCTTAATTAAGAATGTGATACAAAAGTAACCATACTTATTTGTAGCAATCAGTTCTACATTTATGTTCAATTATCAATTAACAATTTCATACCTTTTATGTCACGGATTTGGGACCCTATGAATTTCTATTGCCTTTTTTGTCCATCTAATTTGCAATCTGTGATTTCCTTTTCTTGTTTATCATCCTTTGAGCTTCCTGCAAAGAACATAGATAAGCAAAGCATTCAGAATATTGCTGTCTAATCTAAATTTTGAGGAAACAAAAACAAAACTCTGTTTTTTTCCAGTGGGTGCAAGGAGAAATTTAGAAAGAAATGGGCAAGATGGGTATGAATAGTGAGAACGTGGAAGTGAAGCTGGGAGAAGAGGATTGCCGCTTTTACTGCAAAACCAATACTTTATCAGAAGAAAAATTCAAAACACTCAAAACCCAAAAAAGAAATAAAACCCAAAGTCCACAAAAACACGAAAGAGAAAGAGAGGGAGAGGAGAGAGTAAAAAATATTATTTTTACATCAAAACTAAAAAATGCTTATAAAGACTACAAAAAACTACAAATGAAACAAACATTGTTAACATTGGAGCAAAAACCTGACTCTTTGAGATTTGCTTTCCTTATATGTTTATATAAGTGATAATCATGCTAAACTGAAAACAACTTTTGAGTCCCAATGGCCTTCTTTATTGTTTTTCCTAAATGGGTTAGCTGCATATGGGGGAGATGCTGGCTTTAAAATCAAATTTGAGAACATTTTAGAATTTTATTTTTATTTTTTGCCTGTTTGGTTAGTTTGCTTTTCATATTTTGTTTTGCGTATTGCCCAATGGAGTAGTGATTGGATGAGCATACTGAATAATATTAATCTCTGAAAATTAGAGGGGATCCTTTTGAACACACAATGTTACCGTTCGAATTAAAATACATGAAAATACCTCAGCTATAAACTGGGACACCTTTGCTTAAACGGCTCCGGTTCTGTAAACCGAACTTCTTGAAGAATGTAGCGGATCTGCAATAACATTAAATGAATGCATTAAAAGCTTTATCTATTATCTGCCAAACCAGATTTCTTTGTGAAGAGAATTTGTATAAAGAAAGGTAATCACTTCAAAATCACCAATTAACATAGGCATCTTCAAATAATTTAAATAAGCAAAGAGATGGGTGAACTGGGCTGGTAAGATCAGCAACTTGGTTTTCATTTACATTCAGTTTTAGCTGACATCAAAGCCATTGTACAATTAATTGGATGAACTTAAACACTTCTGATCACAAAAGTTGTGATCGCAAAACACATTGTGTTTATATAAGAAACAGAAGCAACAATCGATATGCAGATCTTCAAAACAAACAACAACAACAACAACAACAACAAAGCCTTTTCCCACTAAATGGGGTTGGCTATATGAATCCTAGAACGCCATTGCGCTCGGTTTTGTGTCATGTCCTCCGTTAGATCCAAGTACTCAAGTCTTTTCTTAGGGTCTCTTCCAAAGTTTTCCTAGGTCTTCCTCTATCCCTTCGGCCCTGGACCTCTGTCCCGTAGTCACATTTTCGAACCGGAGCGTCAGTAGGCCTTCTTTGCACATGTCCAAACCACCGGAACCGATTTTCTCTCATATTTCCTTCAATTTTGGCTACTCCTACTTTACCTCGGATATCCGCATTCCCAATCTTATCCTTTCTCGTGTGCCCATACATCCCACGAAGCATCCTCATCTCCGCTACACCCATTTTGTGTACGTGTTGATGCTTCACCGCCCAACATTCTGTACCATACAACATCGCTGGCCTTATTGCCGTCCTATAAAATTTTCCCTTGAGCTTCAGTGGCCTACGACGGTCACACAACACGCTGGATGCACTCTTACACTTCATCCATCCAGCTTGTATTCTATGGTTGAGATCCCCATCTAATTCTCCGTTCTCTTGCAAGATAGATCCTAGGTAGCGAAAACGGTCACTTTTTGTGATCTTCGCTAGATTGCTCCGGTCATTAGTGTGGATAAGTATATAAATGGATAGAGATAGGAAAGCAAACACAAGATGTACGTGGTTCACCCAGATTGGCTACGTCCACGGAATAGAGGAGTTCTCATTAATTGTAAAGGGTTTACACAAGTACATAAGTTCAAGTTCTCCTTTAGTGAGTACAAGTGAATGATTTAGTACAAATGACATTAGGAAATATTGTGGGAGAATGATCTCGTAACCACGAAACTTCTAAGTACCGGAGTGTGGTATCGTCTTGACTTTCCTTATCTGTCTCATAGGTAGATGTGGCATCTTCTCTGGAAGTACTCTTCCTCCATCCAGGGGTGGTATCTGTAACTGGTGGAGATGCACAAGGTAATGTATCAATGTCACTTGAAGCTTACTTGTAGTTTCAGGCTTGGTCAAGCGCGATACAAACCATGTAGTAGGAGTCCCTCAAGTCGCTGAGCTAGGGGATTTGCTGAAAGAGGTGACAGACAAGGTAAGCAATCAGAGCTCCGGCTGATTGTTCACATTCTCCCTATCTTGCAGGCAGCATGAAGGATAAAGAGAAGAAAAATGAGAAGAGATGATATGGGATACTTTTGTTTTTGAAGAAGTAACTTTCCACAGACTTATTCTTGAACTGGGCTGGAGGGTTTTCTGGTTTCCTCCAGAGTATAAGGCCAACTGAAGAATTTGAGGGTCAAAACAAGTCCATCAAATCTAGAGTACGTTCGACCCTGCTGATATGGGATACTTTTGCTTTTGACAGAGTAGTGGATGTATCGGCACGTGTCCTGTTACGCTTGTCTCCACATGCTTCCTTGGAACAGATAGGGCAAGTGAGAATGATACAAGGAAGCATGTGGAGACAAGCGTAACAGCACACGTGCCGATCTTCAAAAGAATACTAAAAAAATAAAGAAATAACAAACAGCATTTGAATTTCCATGTCCCATTTGACCAAAAAACCCGTATTGAATCACACTAAACAGAAAACACATAATCCTAAAATCAAACCTCAAATGAATAAAATTAAAAAAAAAATAGTAAACTCTGGTACTTAATTCTTCTCAACGGCTTACTACGTGTTACAATATTTTCTTTTCTTTTTTTGTTGCTTAGGCTGCCTTCTTGACAACAGATACAACTGGAAGAAAGCTTTTGCTATTCTGCTGAACAACTTCTACCACCCTCATCAATCTAAATAAACAATGTTCTCCAATATTTTTTGTTGTGTAAATAGCTTAACACAGCATGATTTCCCAATGTTTTTTTTTTCCATGTAAATAGCTTAGCATTTCACACATCTTTGTGTCCAAATGCTGCTATTGATAAAAAACCACATGGTAAGTTCTAACCCAATTCATTTAAGCATCTAACAAAATGGTGATACCACACTACAATCAAACTGGTTACTCCTTCCACCCAATTTTTATCAAACATATAGAACCAAAGACCAATTGTTTAAACGTGTTTAATAAGGGATTTATTTTTAAAAACTCCTTCAAATACATAATGCTAACTGGCAAGATATGCATCAATTTAGTTAACCAACACAGACAGGTAAGTGCACATGTTGTTCGGATAAAAACTAACACAAATTACTGAGACTCATTTATTTAAAAACTGAAAAATGATTATTCAAATTCATATTCATACAAAGTCTAATACTGAAACAAAATTTACAATTCAATTAAAAAAATTTGTCCAAGCACTTGCTCAGTGCAGTCCCCACAATCCTCCAGTTTCATCCTTTCTTTTCCCTTTTTCTGCAGACCACTCGTCACAATAATTCAATTGTAACATGTATTGCATGTACCAGAAATCATTTTAAATAATTTCCAAAGAGGGTTTAGCGAATGTAGAAATGGAAACAGTTGTTAACAAACACTGTAGCTTTTAAAAGAATACCAAAAAAATAAAGGAACAACAAACAACATTCGAGATACATCACAAATAAAACTGAACCAGCAGCTTTGCTGCTGTTCTTGATTTTTTTTCTCTTCTCCATTTGGCTTCCCTAACTTCAAATCTTCACATCTTTTTCATTCGGTTATCGTTTTCAACAAATATTATATCAAAATCTAAGCCTCATTAACTACGAAAATTGTGCAAAAGGTTGAGAAAATGTGAAATTTCCCCTATTCGTATTTTAGATAATATCCCAACTGATTTGAAAAGCCACCTTCTAAGCCACCAAACAGAGGAAGTTGGAACAAAACATTAAATAAGACAAAAAAGAAAACATGTTTCTCACATCTGCTTCTGGATGCAAAGTGATCTGAGCATAAACCTCAGGAGAAAAACGCAAGAGAGAGATTTCTTGGTAAACAACCAGTTTCAAATCGAGAACAAAATTCTTACCACGCAAAGCAAATATGCAGATCGGAGTCGTAGAAGACGCAGGGGCAATAGCAGAAACCGTGTTGGAGAAAGAAGGGGGAAAGCCTGCGAATTTAGGGCACGTTTGTTTGACAGGATTCGCTGGGACTGGACTGGACTAGACTATAGTCCAGTGTTTGGTGGGTACCGGGATTAGCTTTAATGAGCTTAGGTGGGATTCGCTAGGACTAAGGGGGGGCTTAGCCGTTCTTCACGAGGGATCCCAAATTCGGGCGGACTCGTAAGCCAGAGAAACCGCGTCTTCCCACATCTCACATCCCACATCGTCCTCATCTCTGCGTCTGCCCTCGTCGTCGTCCTTGCCGTGCTCCCACATCGTCCTCACGCTCATCGTCGTCCTTGCATCTGGTCGCTGTCATCTGCCTCTAGTCGGTAAGCTTCGAATCTTGGATTTTTTTTCGTCGATTTGTGTGGATTTGTTTGTGATATTAACTGAGGTTTATTTGATTTTGTTGTTTTGGGTTTGAGAAATTCATAATATACAAGTGGATTTGCAATTGAACAAATTAGGGTTTTGTTATTTAGGTGAAATTGAGATTAGAATTTGGGGTTTTCATAAGATGAAATTGAGATTAGTCTCAGGTGTGTGCTCTCTGTGTGTGTGTTTGTGTGTACTGAAAAAAAATTTGTCTGTGTGTTTGTGTGTGTGTGTGTGTGTATGTAATCTGTGTAACCTGTGTAATATCTGTGTGTGTGTGAGTTGTGTGTGTAAAATGTGTGTGTAATCTATCCGTGTGTGTGTGTGTAACCTGTGTTATTTGCAGTGTGTGTGTGAGTTGTGTGTGTAAAATGTGTGTGTAATATGTCCGTGTGTGTGTGTGTAATCTGTTTTTGTGTGTATGTGTGTGAGTTGTGTGTGTAAAATGTGTGTGTGAGTTGTGTGTGTAAAATGTGTGTGTGAGTGTGAGTGTGAGTGTAAGTGTTTGTGTGTGTGTGTGTGTGTTTGTGTGTGTGTGCGTTTGTGTGTGAGTGTGAGTGTAAGTGTGAGTGTGAGTGTGTGTGAGTGTGAGTGTGTGTGCAGTGTGTGTATGTATGCAGTGTGTGTGTGTGTGTGCAGTGTGTGTGTGTGTATGCAGTTTGTGTGTGTGTGTGTGTGCAGTGTGTGTGTGTGAGTGTGTATGCAGTGTGTGAGTGTGAGTGTGTGTGAGTGTGAGTGTGTGTGTGCAGTGTGTGTGTATGTAGTGTGTGTGTGTGCAGTTTGTGTGTGTGTGCAGTTTGTGTGTGTATGCAGTGTGTGTGTGTGCAGTTTGTGTGTGTGTGCAATTTGTGTGTGTATGCAGTGTGTGTGTGCAGTTTGTGTGTGTGTGTATGTGTGTGTCCAGTGTGTGTGTGTGTGTGTGACTGTGTTCAGTGTGTATGCAGTGTGTGTGTGCAGTTTGTGTGTGTGTGTGTATGTATGTAGTATGTATACAGTGTGTGTGTGTATGTATGCAGTATGTATGTGTGTGTGTGTGTAAGTGTGAGTGTGAGTGTGAGTGTGAGTGTGAGTGTAAGTGTGCAGTGTGTGTGTGTGTTTGTGTGTGAGTGTGAGTGTAAGTGTGAGTGTGAGTGTGTGTGAGTGTGCGAGTGTGTGCGTGTGTGTGTGTGTGCAGTGTGTGTGTGTGTGTGTGCAGTGTGTGTGTGAGTGTGTATGCAGTTTGTGTGTGTGTGTG